CAGGGGGGATGCCACGCGTCTGTCCCTGGGAGCAGTGGTTCTGAGCCACTCGGAGGAGAAGCGGCTCGTGCCGAGTCTCCGAGCAGCCCGGAATGCATCTGACAGTTCTTCCATGTTGTTTTGCACTCGCCCAGGAGCGCCGTCAGGGTTTTTCCCTTCTCTGGCACTGCTGTTAACCCAGCCCTGGAGAAAACCCGGGCGTTCCTCCCATGTCCTGCAAACACCTCATCCGCCAGGCTGCAATCTTCAGTAGCTACACCCAGAGCAAATTAACGATGTGGTGCAGCATTGGGGCACTGGAGAGGGGCGGACTTTGCCCTCGCCCCAGAGATAAATGCTCCCTTTCCGCCCATGGCCTCTGCACAGGCTCCCAAGGAGCAGAGACCTCAGGGCGGCGCAGGGGTTTATTGCCCGTGAGCTTGGCTCCCGCTGCAGTGGGGACGCGGGTCGGATGCTCCTGAGACTTCGGGTCCCTTCCCAGGACGGGTCTCTGGACATCCCAGCTGTCACTTGGCCATTCCCAGCTTTTTGCTTGGCTGCATCTGCCAAGGAAGGAGGGAAATCCCACTTTCCCTGGGTGTCACCTTGTCTGCTGTCCCTCCTCTCGGTGACAGCTCATCCACGTGGTCCCAGTGACACTTTAGCCGCAGGGCATGAGGCTTCTCACCCCGACATTCCTCTAATCCCTCTCTGGTGGAGGATTCGATGGGGCACATGGCCAGCCCCTTTGCAAAACCCACTTTCTTTAGCCGAAAACCCTCTTGGATTTTGGAGAAAGGAGGCTCCGTGTCTCCCTGAGCCTGCAGCCGGATCCAAACCTGGGTGCGGGCTCCACGCGGGAGCTCCTGCGAGGGGCAGGGATGGGGTGGGGGCAGCAGGGTGGGCTGGTGGGGCACAGGAACCGGCATCTCCCCCTCTGACGGGGTCGGTCGCTCCCTCCCGACCCCCAGACTACCTGAAGGAAGAGCTGGATCGCTACGTGAAGCAGCTCCAGATTGTGCGGGTCGTGCGGCAGGAGGAGAGGAAAGGGCTGATCACGGCACGGCTGCTGGGGGCCAGCGTGGCCAGCGCAGAGGTCCTGACCTTCCTGGATGCCCACTGTGAGTACCCACCGTCTCCCGGGGGTCCCCAGGGAGCTGGGCGTGGGGGTGAAGTTGTCTCCACTCCATGGCCACACCGTCCCTGTGTCCCAGGCGAGTGTTTCCACGGCTGGCTGGAGCCCCTCCTATCCCGCATCGCTGAAGAGCCCACGGCCGTCGTAAGCCCCGACATCGCCACCATCGATCTCAACACCTTTGAGTTCTCCAAGCCTGTCCAGAGCGGCAAACAGCACAGCCGGGGCAACTTTGACTGGAGCCTGACTTTTGGCTGGGAGGCCGTCCCGCCCCAGGAGAAGCAGCGGAGGAAGGATGAGACCTTCCCCATCAAGTAAGCCATCTCAGGGGGGGATTTTTATCCACTTTGGAGCTGGTGTGATGGTAGCAAAGGTTGGATGAGCCCTGGGAATGCATCTCCAGACCCAAAGGCTGCAAAATGAACCAGCTGCGCGTGCGTGGCTGCTGTGGGGTGCTTAGGGAGGCACGGCCAGGGGTGGCAAAGAGCTGGGTGCCCTGTGCCAGGAAACTGCCCCTTCCTCCAGTTGTTTTTGTTGCCTTTTCCAACAAATTGGGGTTTTCCCTGCAGGTTTTGGTGCCTCTGGGTGAGCGATGCTGTCCCTTCCCAGCGGAGCTTCCCCCGTGGGATGCTTGGCTTGAGGGATCTCGGCTGGTTTGTGCCTACCGAGGATGCTCAGGCACGGCCAGGGCGTGGGGCTGGCAGAGGAGAAACCTCCCCCGGGGTTTGGCGAATGTTGAGCCATAAAGGAGCTTTTGCAAACACCTTTGAATTGCCTCCAGCCATCTCCCTGCTCCTGCAGAGTCTCTCGTTAAGGGTTTAATCGCTGTCTTGTATCTTCTCGCTCTGGATACCCAACCCAGCTACCTGGGCACAGGGTGGGCACCTGCGCTGGCACAGCAGCAAGAATTTGTCACCTGTGGATCGGGCTGCACCGAAAACCCTAGTTTTACCCCCTTATTTTCATGTGGAGAAACCCTGAACAGGTTTTCCTGCTGCACTTCTCCGTTGGTACCCCACGATAAGCCGGGTGCTCCCACCGGGAGATACCAGACACCCTGCCTGGCCCCGTCCGCATCCCGTGCCCTGGCCGGCGGCAGGGCTGGCTTCGTGCAGAGGTCACCCGAGAGACGTCCCTGTCCCAATAAAGGTCCCTTTTACCGCGAGCTGGCAGTTCGGCTCCTGGCAGCGTCTCATCTCCGCTCGGCAGGAACGCAGCAGCTCAGCGAATCCTTTTTTTTTTTTTTTTATTTTTTATTTTATTTTTCCTGAATAAAAGCAAGTTTCTGTTCCAGCCTCTTCTAAAGATCAGATGGAAAAGATTAGAGAAGCTGGAGGAATGAATGGGGCGCCGGCCGCTGAGCTCTAATCTCCCCCCTTCTTTTTGGCGATAGGTTTTCAGTAACAATATCCCCCTTTCGCTTTGAGTCAAGAGCTGGCGGCGAGGCCCCTCGGTGTCACGCTGCCACCGCCCCCTCCGTCCCCTCCTGGCAGCCATGTCCGGTCCCTCCGCCAAAGCCACCACATCTGGGGCCCAGCTGGACGGGGCAGGGACATGGGGGGACGCAGCTGCAAAGTGCTCACGCCCACTGCGAGGGCCACGATGTCCCCAAAACTCAGACTTCTGCTTTTCTATTTTTATTTTAACCCTATTTTTTCCCCCCTTCTCCCTCCCCTGTAGGTCCCCGACTTTTGCCGGTGGCCTCTTTGCCATCTCCAGGTCCTACTTCGAGCGCATCGGCTCCTACGATGATCAGATGGAGATCTGGGGGGGCGAGAACGTGGAAATGTCCTTCAGGGTAAGGGCGGGTCGGTGCCGTCTTCAAAGGGCGTCTTCAGGGATGCTCCTTGTTGGGGGGCACGGTGGGGCTGGGCCCCCCACGGCTCAGGCGTTGCCTCCCTGTAGGTCTGGCAGTGCGGGGGTCAAGTCGAGATCATCCCTTGCTCCGTCGTGGGTCACGTCTTCCGCTCCAAGAGCCCCCACACCTTCCCCAAGGGCACCCAGGTCATCTCCAGGAACCAGGTCCGCCTGGCTGAGGTCTGGATGGACGACTACAAGGAGATCTTCTACAGGAGGAACCAGCAAGCTGCGCAGATGGCCAGAGAGGTACCGGGCACGCCGGCGGGCTTCTGGTTTTCCTGGGGGGTGCTGATGCTTCTGGGAGCTCAAGCCTGAGCAGAGGCAGGAGGTGGG